AAAATATGTTTAGATTTCTGGATATTCATATGCACATGTACGTGCACATGCACAATTTACCTAAAATATGTTTAGATTTCTGGATATGTACATGTACGTGCACATGCACATGCACAATTTACATAAAATATGTTTAGATTTCTGGATATGCACATGTACGTGACATCTGCCTTGCAAAGAACAGATATGAAGGCTGTAGGACTTCAGTTAGCTTTAGATCTACTTCATGAAAAGGTAAATTTTTTAGGAATTATTTATTTGACGGAAAACATAACTTCTTTGCAACCTAATGGTTTAAACCTTTGATGTTTTGCTCTCTCTATAGTTTAAAATACGATGATGAGAGTAATTAGCATTTTGGAAACTAAAGGGGTATTTCCAAACTTTATTCCTTTCCCTACTCCTAATAAATCCTATTCTTACTTCTTCTATTACCCATCCCTACTCCTACCTACTTCTCATCTCTACCCTACTGTATCCTATTCCTGCTCCTACTATATACTATTCCTACTCCAACTATATACTATCCCTACTCCAACTATATCCTATCCCTACTCCTACTATACCCTATCCTTACTCCTACTAAATTCTATCCCTACTATTACTATACCCTATCCCTACTCCAACTAAACCCTATCCCTACTTCTACTGTATTCTATTCCTACTCTTAATATATCCTATCCCTACTCCTACTATATCATAATCCTACTTCCACTATATCCTATTTCTACTCCTACTATATCCTATCCCTACTCCTGCTATATCTTATACCTACTCGATTACTGTATCCTATCCCTACTCCTACTATATCCTATCACTACTCCTACTATATCCTATCCCTACTTCTACTATATCCTATCCCTACTCCTACTATATCTTATACCTACTCGATTACTGTATCTTACCCCTACTCCTACTATATCCTATCCCTACTCCTACTTTATCTTATCCCTACTCCTACTATATCCTATCCCTACTCCTACTATATCTTATACCTACTCGATTGCTGTATCCTATCCTTACTTCTACTATATAATATCCCTACTCCTACTATATCCTATCCCTACTCCTACTATACCCTATCCCTACTCCTACTATATCCTATCCCTACTCCTACTATATCCTATCCCTACTCCTACTATATCCTATCCCTACTCCTACTATATCCTATCCCTACTCCTACTATATCTTATACCTAGTCGATTACTGTATCCTATCCTTACTTCTACTATATCCTATCCCTACTCCTACTATATCCTATCTCTACTCCTACTATACCCTATCCCCTACTCCTACTATATCCTATCCCTACTCTTACTATACCCTATTCCTACTCCTACGATATATTATACCTACTTGATTACTGTATTCTATCCCTACTACATACTTCCTTCATCCTTCTACTCTGTATATCCCATAAGTCTTTAAGCATGAGTGAAAACGGGCACAAGATCCAACCCTCAGGCAATTCTTTAGACGAGATAGATTTTAGAATTTGAACACATGATCACACAATTCAAAACCTAACCTTCACTAACTCATCACTAGAGAACTTTACAAAACATTCACAAACATTGATTCTAGCATTATGTGAATACCCTAGAAGTCAGGATAGAGGACACAAGAATACAAGAATATAAGGATACAAGAATACAAGGATACAAGGATACAAGGATACAAGGATACAAGGATTTCAAGGAAACAAGAATACAAGAATACAAGGATACAAGGATTCATTGATACAAGAATACAAGGATACAAGGATACAAGGATACAAGGATACAAGGATACAAGGATACAAGGAAACAAGAATACATGATATAAGGATACAAGCATACAAGGATACAAGGATACAAGGATACAAGGATACAAGGATACAAGGATACACGGATACATTGATACAGGATACATGATGTATGGATACAAGAATACAAGAATACAAGAATACAAGGATACATTGATACAGGATACATGATACAAGGATACAAGGATACAAGGCTACAAGGATACAGGAATATCCTAGCTCCTGCATCTTATCGTGAGATTGATCCTAAAAGAAATAAGTTTAGCTCTAGGATATAGTTTATCCCTGGATTCCAAGATCTTGGATCCAGATTCCAAACTACAATCATGGCAATTATCTTACTGTTCTAAAATCCAGCATGCAAAGGTTTATCTCGTGATCCAATGATGCTAAGTTTAGCTACCATGATGCTAGAATACTCCGGAGCTAATGATGAATGTAAAATTAACAAGTTGAATAGATGTTGAATGGAGCAGGGGGCGGGGGCCCCCTACCTTGCTTTGTAATTAAATAAGAATCTAATTATGCCTGACTAACTACCAGATGATCTATCTAGCTCTCTACAGTCTACAGTCTACAGTTTACAGTCTACAGTCTACAGTCTACAGTCTACAGTCTACAGTCTACAGTCTACAGTCTACA